CTGCTGTGCAAACAGTACTATACTGAGAAGCAGAGATCCTGGTGGGATGCAGTTCGTACTCTGATGCAGAAAAAAACAACGTAAGGCTTCTTCAGTTTGGAAACATTTGAACCAAACTTGTAGACAGCTTCTGAATTGATTCCCATAGGTTGTGTAAAGCGAGTTTCTTTTGTTTGACGTAGTTTGAGCATTAAAGGTTTGGTGCTGTAGGGGTGAGATGCTTAAGAGCTTTCCAAAAACGGGCTTTACGTTTCTAATATTGTATTTGTCAAGAGCCAGCTTAGGACTAAAACTGCTTGTTGTATTCATCAAAGAAATAATGTGTGAACAGATTAAAGGAGAGGGACTAATAATTGAGGAATATTTCTTGTAATCTTCAGGCCAGACTCAGCAACAAGACTGAAGCTTCTTGTACAGCATGGATTAAGTACCCTGCGAGCCCAGGAGAAACACGGCCTTCAGCCTGCCTTAATTATCCACTGGGCAAGAAGCCTGCAAAAAACAGTAAGTGAAGATTATTTGTGAATAAGTACCATCTGTTTTTCTCTAATTCTGCAAACTGAACTGGCCAAATAAAATCAGATGAGAATGTAGTATTGAGAGCTGCTGCTAATTTTGATAGGAGGACTAGAGCAACTAATTTATCTGATAAGTTCTCTCTCCCTCACTACTCTCTTAACAACGCAGTTAAAAATGATGTATTTTCTACCTGTGTGTTACTTTCTGTGACTTCCTGAAATATATCACAAGCATCAGAGACAAATTCTTGAAACTTGTCAAGAAAACAACTGCATCAGAGAAGAAAAAGTATGAATAAGAAAGCGTGAATAACATTTTATTTGCATTTTCTGCAATAGTTTCAATTTCTCCAACAGGGCACTAGCCTTACCTCCTTCTACGACCAGAAAGAATATATTGGAAGAAGTGCCTACTACTGGAAGAAAACTTTGCTTGCTTTGAAAATGATCAAAAAGCACAAAAGTGTTCCTGAGCCTACTGATCCTCTGTTCAAATATTTCCATAGTGTGGACATTCAGGTACAGATTGATTATTCCAAGATGAGAATAAGAGGGGTTTTATGTCACAATCTTACACATAAATTGGTTGTGGGTTTTTTATAGTGTTTTTTTGTTGTTTTCTTTTTGTGGTTCGGTTGGTTTTGTGTGTTGTTAGGGTTTGTTTTTTTGTCATTGTATTGCTAATGCTAAGATTTGGTAGTATCTGTCTGTGGAACTATTCAGCTTTAAAACTATCAGAGTGGAAGGCACTGAACTCCCTTAGTACCAGTTTTATGGAAAAGCTGTTTTTCTGTATCGCAGGAAAACTAGTAATATTATTAACCTCCTCCTGTCTGATTGCTTACTAGATGTTTACAGTTACTGACTGTTCCAAGTGTCCACATACACATTACGTGTGAGTTGTCTTTTGCTTTGGCTGTAGGTCTTTCAGGTTGCAGCCTATGAAGAAGAGGCACATACAGCATTTGCAATGTTGGACGCGGTTGAAGGCAAAACCGATGATGCTTTATTAGCATTTGAAGCTATTAAGAACGTGGTTTCATACTGGAATCTTGCCATAGTAAGTCTGTAAATTGCATTACCTGAAAATGCTTTTCTTTTGCTTGCATTCTGACCAATTCTTATTAATCAATGTACTGTTGCGTAGCTTTGCCAAAGAAAGGCAGAGGAGATTGAGAGCGATGATATGTTGCCAGAAGAACAAGAAGAGCACAAAACCTATCTTCTTAAAAGAAAGCATTACCTGATGAAGATCATCGATGAAAGCTCCTCTGATCCATCAGTAGCTGACAAAGTAAGTAATTCCTGCTTAACATCTTGTTTGGAGAGATGGAGTGGTTTAGCTTACTGGTGCAAAATGAGACAATTTGCTTTCAAGTCAGACTTCTCAAAACAGATTTTGCTTCATGACCAGTTAGGCTTGTGGTGTTTCATCAAGCCAAATAAATGTCTTTACTCCAGTATGTGGTATATCCTGGGAAGATTCTGTGAAGGTATCGGATTATGAAATGTTTTTG